ACACAAACACAGACACAAACACAAACACAAACACAAACACAAACACAAACACAAACACAAACACAAACACAAACACACACACACACACACACATGAGCCGAGCCTCATAAGGCCAGCCCAAACCGCAAACCTCAAAAACCCCACCCACAACTATCTCACCCGCAGCTCGAAACTTTGAAGCGTAATATAAGGGCCTAAGTAATTACCAATACTATTCTTAGGGTTCCTTATTGCCCAAAGACCTGTTCTAATTAGTAAGGCCATCATATTTCTGTCGCACTAAAAGGACCGCAAACGGGTTGGGATAGCCCTGACCAAGAAGTCCTTCTAGCTCTGCTCGTAAAAGTAAGCCCTATACCCCAAAACCCCTAAGCCCGAAACCCTGAACCCATAAGCCCTAAACCCTAAGCCCTAAACTCGAAACCCTAAGCCCTAAACCATAAGCCCCAAACCCTAAACCCTAAGTCCCTACTCGGAGAGGTTTCTTCAACACTTTCGATGCTATCCTCATTTTCGTGATGTTTGCGGATGCCATCAACGCTCTTGCCAACGTCCACATGCTGGGCATCGATGATGGTGGGAGGGGGCTGCGGCATGTACGGTTTAAGGTGGTAGGATGTTGTGTTGGTGCAGGATTGGTGTGTGCTTTGATTGATGACATGTGGGCTATTCTGAGTTGTGGATTCGTTTGGTATTCTACCTAGCGGACCTATTCAACACGGGGCGGGCACCAGCAACACAACACTTGAAGTTGCCACAGCCTCCGTCGCATCACCAGCATCACCACCATCCTCACCATCGTGACCATCATCGTCACCATCGTCATCATCATCATCATCATCATCCTCATCATCATCATTGTCGTCATCATCATCAGGTGTTGTGGCTTCGCAGCGCTCGGGGAAGTACCTTTCTGTTTGGAATTTTGGGATGTAGGGCTTTCATTGTAGGGACAACCGCCGTCGAGACTCTGGACGGCATTTTTGGCTGTTTGGACATTTCCCGGTATGCGGATGGGTTTGATTTAATGCTGAGGATTGACAGAGGCGTTCATACTTGGGTAGTTGTCAAAATTATGGTCCCTTTTGGGGTAACCTAAATAATAGGTGCCGTATTGTAATAAGGACCCAAAAAGGGACCATAATTTTGTGTAAGCTTCTGGAAGTTAACCTGAAGCTGGTAGTCGAAGGGCTTATGCAGAAAGGAAGCTGCGCCAACGACCATAGACGAATTGCGAGATCTCTCTCTTTTTAACACACACACATGCACATCAGCTGCTCTTCTGTACCTATACATAGATTTGGCTTCATGCATTGTGCTTGAGATGTTTTTGGGCTTAAAGCCACACCGCTGCGACGTACAGCTTTACAAACGTCCACAGACAACATGTGCATTCAGAGGGATCAGTACTTTCTGCACTCCTCCTTGGCACAACCGAAAGGCAGTGCCACATCTCGATCCCTAAGATCATGTCTTGAGCCTTTGGCCCATCAGTAGATTCGGTTTCCCCGATTCTCGGCGCAGCACCGACAGAGAGTCACCACTTGATGGCGGCTCGTATTCCTTAATCCCCAGCAATCTTCAAACAAATGGACTGCTCCACCAGGGACTTGGTAAAATGGACCCGCAAACATTCGGATTTCCGGTTGCGGGGGTGGATGGACTCGCTGAAATGCTGGCTCTATGTTCACTTGGACCTCCTGATCCACCATTTTCGGTCTTGTGGTTGAAGACGTAGTACTCGGCTGAGTGGGCTTCGGCTGTTTGTTCCGGCTGGTAGAAGAGGACGAAGCTTCTTCACATAGTTCTGTAGGCATTGTCGGGACTGGTGAGGATCCTGGCATAGTTCTCTCAAAGCGATCTCTGAGTTCTGTAATGCGGGCTCGTTGTGCTTCACCTAAATCCGCATATGAAACTGCCAACAAACGTTGAAGCTCTTTCAACTCGGTCTTTGTAAGCTTCTTATCGGCCTTGTCCGCTTTAACTCGTAGTGCTCGAAGTCGTGCTTGTCGCTGACGGCCGCAATGCTTCATGCCTTCCCAGATTCCGATGACAGCTATTCCAAGAACCAAGATGGCCACATAAAGATCCCAAGGAATCTCTGCAGACAAATGATCTTTCTGGGCTGCCGTTCCACAGACCTGGCAAAACATCATCAACCTTTTAAGCCACGACTGATGTATCGTAGTGGCTTTGACCGAGACCTTTGTATCGTCCGCGTAGTCGACCATGCCCCATAAAGAGATAAGGTGCTTCATCCGGTCGCGGGTCATCGGCTTGGTGCCTAAATCGGCATGTTGAAATTCTCCACTAACATGACTGACCAACACTTCTTTGGTTGACATCCGTTCTTTGATCCAGTTGTAACGAAGCTTCAAATGCCTGGTGCGCCAGCTTCCACTGGGAGTAGTGAGAAGCGTCACTGCCGCGGTATTATCGACCAGGGTATTCACTGGGAGATCTTCTTGGCATAATTCCTGAATCAATCCCTTCGTAGAAAGTCCAAGTAGAATGCCATCCACCGCTTCCAGTAGTTCGCTTTCACATGTCGACAATGTCATTAACTGTTGGCGAGAGGAACGCCATGTGATAGCATTTCCTCCGAAGAAAACTCCGGCACAACCTTGACTTTTTCCTCCTGAAGGCGCGAATGAGGAATCTGTGTACACATCCAAGGTCCATTTATCTGTTCCCACAAACTTCAGGCGGTATCCTTTGGTCTCGCAAAGGTAATCAAGTAGTCGTTCACCTATTCGGTTCACCAAATCCGGGGACTTGGTGATCTTCGAAGCCATGAGGGAAGTCACGTACATCACATCTGGCCTTGAACGGCTTGACAGCCATAGCATTTCACCGACTCGTCGTTGAGCTTCTTTGACTTCTTGTTCTCGCCCTTGAAGATGAACTGTTTCTGCAGACAACAGGGCTTGCTCCTCCTCTTCTGACAATAACAGAGTTTCCCTCGGACCTTGTGTTTTTGACCGTCCACCGCCATGTTGGTGAGCACGTAGGAGCTCGTTGATAAAGCCTTCTTGAGCGATCTCAAACCCATCCTTGCGCTTATGAAGCTCCATTCCAAGAAACCTGATGGGGTTCTGGGTGTCCAGGATGTTCAACGAGTCACACTCCCACTTCGCTTCCACCCAGCTGAAGAACGATTTCACAACAGGATCCAATCCAGTAATGAGAAGGTCATCAATGTATACCATGAGGTAGCCGAGGGGTTCCTTTTCAGGAGAGGAGGCTCTGACAATCTTCCACACCTGATCATCAGATATCAGCTGCTGCAGCTTCAAAGTGACCATCTCGCGATCAACCTCAGTCTCCCACCTAGCGGCCCGTAGTTGATCATCACGAAAACTGCTCCAAAGAGCGGGAGATTCTCGTAGTCCGTAAATTGACATCTGTACCAACCAGTAGTCACCTGGCTCTGCTATGCCGAGTTCGTAAGCTATTGAGGGAGGTGATAGTGCAACTGGGTGGCCTAGCCACGGCGCTAGGACGAAAGCTTGTCTTATGTCTGTCGTTGCTGTAGTCCATGGTTTGCCTGCTGTAAATGCAAGCATTGTCCGTAGCGATGAAGCGTCAAGGCCTGCGGCAAATAGATCAAAGCAGGAGTCCTCCTCCGGCACGTGATTCCCACATGCAACGAAACGAGTTTTCCGTCGATAGCCTTGTGGTGATTTATCTGGCTTCACGGTGTACACTCCTTTGCATGGAACTATTCTGCACCCTTTCGGGAGCTCATGCTGCTTCTTGATCACGAAAGCCCGCTTGTTGTCCTTAAGGTTTGTGAACTCCTTCTTGGCTGATTCGACCCATTTCTGGAGGTTTTGCTTCACCTCCTTTAAGCTCACTGTATGAGTGACCTCAAGGCTCTTACCCTGATTCTCAAGCTCCTGGATCACCTGCTCAATGTCAGGAGTGTACTGGATTTCAGCCTTCTTCATCATCTTCATCAACTTGGCCGTCATCTGGTCCTTTTTAGACAACTCTGAAATTGGCCTTGGCAATCCAACCTTCGTAGGTCCTTCCCAGAACGAGTCATAGTCATCTTCCAGCTCAACGAAAGTCGTGTCCTTGCCCGAATCCTTTGCAACGTAGGATCGCCGAACTCTTGCATCATGCGGTCCCGGCTCCTCCTCATCCCATTCTCCAACCTCTTCAACCGAGGCCTTGAGTGAGTTGTAGTCGATGACGAATCCCGTCTCTTCCAGATCTTGTACATGATGTCCCTCGAGCTTTGTTGCCCTTGGCGTATACATTAGAAAGATCACTCGATCTCCCTCCCACGGCTGAACTTCATGCCATTGATCGGGTGCAAAGTCCAACAGTTCACCTTGTCGTAGTTCCCGGATCTTGCCCTCCACGACTGTACCATTGGACAACTGTCTGGATTCACTTTTGCCTTCCTTGTCGCTGGCACCTTGCAACCACAAACCTCCTCCGGAGAACTCTGTAAGAGGAAGTATCATATTCCTTGAGGACTTGTAGTTGTGGACGTCACGGTGTATTCCCAGGTTTGCATTTCGTGCAATTCCAACCGCACTAAAAGTACGGCCACCACTCACCTTCCGACCAAATGCCGCAAGGTATCTCGTAGTGTTTGGGTAGAGCTTAACATTTGCTCGAAGACCAGCCTTTCCTCCATGGACAAAAGCTCCTGTGAACCATGACGACACGCAGGTCTTCTTCCCTATCCGCAAGTCCGTGTCCCCGAGCTCCTCAAGCTTGTCGTACAGCTTCAGAACCTCCTTGGTGTCGAAGTTTTCCTCGCGTAACAGCCTTTGTGAGATATACTCAATCTCATTTTTAAGCTCCACCCTGCTCTGAGGTTTGTCGTCGCTTTCATGATGAGGTACTCCAGAAGCTTCACCAGGAGGAAGTAGTCCTTGCAAGGAAACCGGGTCAATCACATTGTACTTCACGCTTTTGGCTATTGTCAATCCGCCATCCTCTCGGACAATCAGGTGCCCCTTTGAAACATCAGCTGCCGGCCCTCGGTACCATCCTCTTTTCCATCGCGAGCCCACGGCCTCATACTTTTTCTCCTGGGATCCCTTATAGGCCTTCGCTCTGAACCACACCTCATTCCCAAAGGTAGTCGCCGGAGGTCTTGTCCATGGACTGTGGGGGAAAACCTTGCTCCACCAACTAGCCGAAGCATGATGAATTGCCATTGGCCAGTCTCGAGGCTCCGCTTCACATCCCTTGAGAAGAGCACGTACTCGAGCCTTAGCCCATTTGATGCCCAACTCTGCAGTACTATTACCACTGGGGTCGCCTCCTGCCGTTCTGGTGTGCTTCAGCTCGTTGTCCATGATCCAAGTTCGGAACACCTTGGAGTTGAACTCGCGTGCCCGATCCGTGTGGACCGATGAAACATGCAATCCCGTCTGACGGAGTTGAAGAAGAATATCCTTGGCACCCAACAGCACCTCTGAGGTCGTTCTCCTTGGTAAAGCCCGGGTGATATAGATGGTCGCAACCTCGGGGGGCTTTGTCAAATCTTCAACCTCCCGCTCAAAGGCTAACTTGTCCTCGGCAGGAAGAATCTTCTCCACGTCATCTATCATCTCCTCCTCAACCTCCTCAGGGTCGTCACTGGAGAGAGGTTCCTTCCCGGGTTCTAAAGCCATAAGATCGTCCTCTTCTTCTTCCTCAGGCACATACATCTCCTTTTCATAGTCCGACATGCCCATTGCGCACAGGTACTGCTTGGGGCATCGATACGCCGCAACCATGATGTACTTGTAGTCGTCCCTGTCCAGGGATCTTCCCTTCTGTTTGTAGGGACCCGCCAAGTCAAACGCAACTGTATAAAGAGAGGGGTGCTTGACTCGCCTGTGCTTGTAGCCATTGGCTTGGGCGTTTATGCAGACTGAACAGTCCGATCGGTAAGGTTGATGATCGTTGTCCAAATGACGTCTCCACTCTTCTTTTTGCCCACGTGTAAGCTTTCCAATCCTCACACCTGCCTGCTTCAGCTCCTCCTCAAAGGCGAACGAGTTGTCGTGGTAGTTGAGGATTGACCCAGCGACGATCGACTTGAACTTTCTTGACCATTGGTCCATGGTTTGTTCATCCACCAGGGATTGGGGAACACATTGTTCTCCAAAGTCATAGTTTCCGTTCATCTGGATCAAATCGGGGTAGTTCGTGGCCACCTTTGTTGGCCTTGTAGACCTGTGACCATAGGCTCCCATATAGAAAGCTGCCGTGGACATAGAGCTTATTGACTTGAAGGACTTCCACGACTCTGTTTCCCACAGTGATGCTCGTGGTGAATCAAGTTCTCGTAGACGCTCCTCATCTTGTGGAAACTCCATTAGGAAACCAACTTGACCCTTTCCTTTGACCATCGCTGCCATCCACAACAGAAATACTCGAGCGATGCCCGCAGTCTCTTCATTCACTCGCTGTTGCTGTAGAGGTGGAAGTCCGGCTTTCCCGTAGGGCTCCGTTGTAGTGCGAAGGGCATATAGGTCAGGATCAGGATGATTTCTTCTGGAAGTAGGCCATGTGGAATGTGGGGGCTCGTAGATGATATCCGCGATTTTGCCCTTCGAGGTGGCCCACAGCAACATCTGGTACGCCCCGTTTTTCCTTGTCAAGTTCCACAACTTAGAGCTCCGAGCGTTCACTTCCAGAACCATCTTCCCCGCCTTGGAAATGACGTTGAAAGGATCATCATCATCCGCCTTCTGCTTATCCACGATATGCACCACCCATTGGGATGACGTCATTAACGCTCTCCTTTGTCTTCTGGTGAGGGGAAGCTCCTTTAGATAGTCAGCACCGCAGTCAGGACTGAAGCCCTCAACCAACATCGCCTGCACATCCTCCGGGAGGTCCTTGGTGAAAGGGCATGTGAGGACAACTTTCAGAAGGGTGGCTTGGCTTCCGCTGGTCATATAGTCACTGAAGAGCTCGTGCCATGACTTCATTTCTTCCTTTCTCATCACTTCCAACCTTGCGCTCAGCTTTTCCACTTGCTCGTTTAGCTTGCAGAGATGCTTCGCCTCGAGCTCCTTGATCAACGCATTTGCATCCGAAGCCTGGATTTCCGGGCAGTTATTTATCAGCTTCACCTTCAGGTAACCGCGCTGGGGGTGGTAAAGCTGGAGAGATCCCTTCTTCCATTTCAGTGAACATCCGAGGTCCTCAATGACTGGTCCCAGCGGTACTATGGGTTGTACTTGCTGTCCTTCATCATTCTTGACCAGCACCGTGCCTTGTAGATTCTGGCGTAAAACCCTAACATCTTCTCCCGCCAGCGTCACTGAGACTGGATGCCCACTCGTGTACTCCTCCTCAGACGCACTGCGCATTGCATGGCTCGCGCCACTATCCAGGAGACCATTCGTTGTTGTCTCCTTGTGAATCATCGAAGTCCTCATCGAGGCCTCCACCGCCTTCAACTTCTCTTCGAACCCCATTTCAAGTACCGAGATACGCTTTAGGCTTCCGGCTGACATCGACTTGAGCATCTTGCCCACATCTGCAAGCATCTCCTTGATGTCAATCGGAGGATCGTTAGAGGACGTTGGCTGCGAGGAGGAAGAAGAAATATGCTCCACCTGCGGGATCTCATCGATTCGAACCGTCTTGTTTGTAGTTCCCTGCGTTGTCGTAGGGGCTGTTGAGGGTCCCGTCGTTGGTGGCTTCGGTGCGGTTGACTTCGGCGTTCCTGCAGTAGGCGAACCAGTCTTCTTTGTGTGGCATTCCTTTGTTGGGTGGCCTTTGCCTCCACATGTCCAGCAGCGACCGTTCTTTTCCTTCTCGTTCCCTTCCCATGAGTGTTTGAAGGGACACCTGGTACCCCTTGCGCAACCCTTGTAGGTCTTCCCATAGAACTTGCAAGGAACGGCGGCCTTTGCTGCGCGATCAGCTTCGTCACCTGATCCTCGGTCCGTAGGCGGTAGCCTAGGTGGAGGCGGTGGCGTAGAGGGAGTTTCCGTTCGAAGTGGCCTTAGTCGTGGTTCCGGTTTTTGTGCATTCACGGGAGTTGTGGTAGAAGTTGTCACCGTTGTCATAGTTGAGCTTGCAACTGCCATGGCCTCACATTCTGCAAGGAGGTGGTGATAGTACTTCTCCACTGAGTCATACGAAGGAGTTGTGTCCACCAGTAGAGTGCTTCTGACGAGGTTTGTTCTGAAGTTAACCTCCATATCCTTGTCTAAGACTTGCTTTGTCATAGTCGACAATCCACGGGCCAACAAGCTGGGATCTGGTGCTGTCACCCCGAGCTCTCGACATCTGCGCAACCAGCGTGCCCACGTTCGCAAAGCTGTTACCGCTCTTGAGGCGGTGCTTTCCGCCTCTGGTTGCTGAAGGCTTTGAAGTATATGCACCTTTTCTTGCTGTCCACCCGGCTGGTAGATCGTGAGTAGACGGAATATCAAAGCACACGTTGATCCCGTTGACCGTCGCTGGACCATCTCTTGTCTGACGGAGTCGTGGAGTGCTAACAAGATCATGGACGCCGCCCTGGAGTTCAAGCGACTCCACTTTCCGGATTCCAGCTCCTCCTCATGGGGTGGCTGGATCACCAACTTCTCAACTGGGGAAGCCTTGGCCCATGTGTTGTAAGCTTCTGACGCCGCCGTTCTCACCCGCCGCCACCACTCTGCTGACCCGTCGGACAAGTCCTGCATTGGCGTAGTAATCATCTCTAGCCAGTCCATCATATCAACTGCACTCGAACGAGGATCAACTGGAGGAAGAGCTGGCAAAGTAGACGTGCCTGGCTTCACCGCTTCCGGACTCTTCGAGCCAGACTTGTCCTTTTCACTGTCATTCGCCATCTGCTTCAACATAACCGCTTGAAGCTGAGCCATGCCACCTGCAAGGAGAGTCATCGGATCTGGTTGTGGCGTTCCTCCCAACCATTGCTGAGCAGACTGCGTTCCATTCTGGCTATCACTAGGTCCAACGTCAACATTGGTAGCTGCAGGCCCTTGACCATATTGATTACCAGACTCTTGACCACGTGCTTGACCTTGCTGATTACCAGACTCTTGACCACGTGCTTGACCATATTCTAACGGACCTTCACGAGTGGTGAGTGGATTCCCTCGAGGTACTGTGGAACCTTGTTGATTACCAGACTCTTGACCACGTGCTTGACCATATTGATTACCAGACTCTTGACCACGTGCTTGACCATATTCTAACGGACCTTCACGAGTGGTGAGTGGATTCCCTCGAGGTGCTGTGGAACCTTGTTGGCCTTCCTGAGGGCCACCTTGAGGTACGTTGACTTGGCCTGATCCTTGGTAAAGATCTCCTGGTCGTAGAGCTCTTGGTTCTCCTTGTGGTAGCGGAAATTGCTGTTCTCTCGTACATCCCGGAATTCTAAGCGTGTCACACGGACCTTCACGAGTGGTGCTCAGTGGATTCCCTTGAGGTACTGTGGAACCTTGTTGATGGAGTTGAGGGGCTCCTTGATGTACATTATCATCTTGATTACGCTGTTGTGGTAGCGGAGCTTGAGGATGTCGCTCAGGAAGATCTTCTTGGCGTTGCGGAAGGCTTTCTAGACCCTCCGGCACCCGTGAAGCACGACCCATCCAATAACTCCGTTCGCCCTTCAGCTGTTCAACCTCAAGTTGTAGAGCCCTTACTTGTTCTTGGTGACGGCTGGAAAACTCCTCAAGTTGCCTTTGTACTTCTGCTTGCAGCCTTGACGACCTCTCACTTTCAGGCTCGGACTGTTGTCCTTGAGGTACAGCAGTGGGGCCATACAACCATGGATAGTCTCGCTGTGCCTGGCGGAAGCGTTCTAACTGCACTGCATCAAAAAGAGGGGGCTCGTTAGCTCTTGCCATTGCCCACGATGCAGGTACTTGAGGTACTGTAGCAGCTTGAGGTAGATCTTCAGGTGGGGAGATATTCAAAGGCGTAGACATAGACGTCGTCCGGACTTGAAGCTCCTGTGCCGTATGCTGATGTGGCACCGTCGGTAGTCTTAAGTTGTCCAGAACTCTGTCAACACTCACTGCTCCTCTTTGCGCCGTCGTCCTAAGGAACTCTGAAAAACGAGCAAACCATCGAACATTTCCTTGTCCATCTTGTTGGGGGCTGCTTTCTGCCGTGTAAAACTCCTGTACTCTCATAGTCGATGTCGTAGACGGTAGATCCACATTGACCTGTACTGGGGTCCTTGCTGGAGGTTCGATAGGTGAAGTTCGTACAGACTCAGTTATAACGTTCGCGCCCGGATCCGGTGCGGCCTCATATGCCGGCTCCAACGGTTCTTGGCGGTGGGTCTCGGCTCCCGATGATGTTGTAGCTTCCACTGGGCGATCTGGTTGTGGCGGAGCTGGGTCATACACATTCGGGTTCTCTCCAGGCATGCCACTAGTCCCTCTTTCATCCGAAACAATCACCCTTGCAGAGACTCCATTCGGAAGTCGCTCTTGACTCTGAATCACTTCACCCTGTCGACCAGCAGTCCTTGTAGCGGAGTCGCCCTCTGGTACTTGGGCGCTCATAACCTGTAAGCTTCTGGAAGTTAACCTGAAGCTGGTAGTCGAAGGGCTTATGCAGAAAGGAAGCTGCGCCAACGACCATAGACGAATTGCGAGATCTCTCTCTTTTTAACACACACACACGCACATCAGCTGCTCTTCTGTACCTATACATAGATTTGGCTTCATGCATTGTGCTTGAGATGTTTTTGGGCTTAAAGCCACACCGCTGCGACGTACAGCTTTACAAACGTCCACAGACAACATGTGCATTCAGAGGGATCAGTACTTTCTGCATTTTGACAACCACCAACTTGAGTATCGTGTTCAGAAGAGTCACAGCAGGCTTCGGGTGCAACGTCGGCAGTTGCAGACGGGAGTGTTTGCCTTCTGAAAAATTTCCAGCCCAAGGCTCAGGATACACAAGGATCACCAAAGACCATACCCCAAAACCCCAATTGACAATACCCTTCAACCCCAGGGACTTTAACCGAGACCTTGTAACCCTGAATCCCTACCAGTACTTGCAACGTCAGCAACGCTAAGCAACTTCAGGCATTAGCCGTCCCACTAGAAGGGTCAAGGCAACTAGTATGTAGGTCACAAGCAAGGTTACAAGTCCCAACGATGGCCTTTCCCCCTTTCCAAGTCCCAAAACACAAGTCCCTGAATCCGAATCCCAACACCCAAAATCTCAGTAAAGCCCGAAAACCCGAAGCCCAAGCCCCCGGCACCCGAAACACGAATCCTAATTTCGGGGCCTAGGTAATAACTGGGGGTTCCTTATTATGAAGATAGTATAATGGGTGCAGAACCCTATTCTAACTACTAGGGCCCCTACATTACACGCTTTCTTTTTTGTTGCCAGGCGGGCTCATGAAGCTGTACCGGGTCGTGCGACTGCTCCGAGTCATCCGGATGGCCCGATTGCGCCTCGAGCTCTTAAGGGTTTGAGTGGAGGTGTTTTGGCTTGCTGTCACTATTATTGTAGGGTTGAGGACGCAACACCCAACCTTAACCACTATACTTTGACATAGTGGACTGATTAATTTTCAACACTCTTTCTTGTTTTTGTACAGGTACCACAGAAATATCCTGTCCCTAAACCCTAAACCGTCACTCAGGCTCCCGAAGCCCGACCAGCCTGAATCCCGAAGAAGGAATCCCTTTCCCTGGCTTCGGGTTCAGTCGAAAAGACCAAATTCCCCCTTCATGAACGAATATCCCTTAAACTGTAATCGGACGTCGAACATGAATTAAGGTCTATTCCTTAATTAAGCGGTCTTGGAGTCTCCGAGAACCCTAAATCCCAGTCCAGAATTACCAGACCAACCACCGGGTAACCCTAAACCCTAAACCCTAAACCCTAAACCTTCTCCCAGGTTTCACATGGTGCCAGAGCTTCACTTCACGCTGACCCTGATGACCACGCCTCTTTGTCTGGGGAGGCTTGAAAGTTTCTTAGGTGTTGTCCGAGGTTTTGTTGGGCTTATATTTCGTTAAAGCTTTTTTCACTGGGTTTTACACGTGTTTTCAGAGGCGTTTTGGGTTTTTATACGCCTTTCTAAAGGTTTTGTTGGGGATCATGAGTGTTTTTAAAGTTTATTATGGGTTGCATGACGGTTTGTCTAGGTGTCTATAGAGTTCGAATATAGCGGCCTGAAGAACTAGAGCTATTGCAGTACTCCCTGGTAGTTCCTGAACATAAAATGTCATGGCCCGTGAGAGTCCTGAACCTTTCCGAAACCTTCAAAGCCTCACGAACTGCTAGCGGCGTTCATGCGGCAAAAACTTCCTGTAATCCCAAAAAAGCCATATCTTAGCCTCCAAAACCAACCGTTTTCAGGAGATATGTAAGGATCAGAAAAAAGAAATAAACAAACACAAGGGTTTCTAGGGCCCGGGTACGCCTGAGCCCACACACCAGTTTTTTCTTGGGGACGTCGATGCTTCCGTGCAGTAAGCCGGCCAAACCTTGCAAATCCCTGAACCCCATAAGCCCTTAGGCCCCAAACCTTGGGGTTCGATGGCCCCCCAAGCCCTAAACCCTAAACCTTCCATACGTGGTTTCTCCAGGTCTTATAGGGCTGCGGCTACTCAGAGAGTCCGAGGACGTGGTAAGTAGGGTTATGAGTATTTGAGTTAGAGTTATGAGTAGATGCCAGTATAGTTACCTGACGTACAGCCCTACCTAAGTACCTCGATCTTGTGAGTAAACCTTAAACCCTAAAACTGACAAAACGAGGTCCTCCACGTCCTTCTTCTGGGCTGCGGTTCTGATGCTCCTCATCATGTGGGGCTCTCAGATGAGTTCTAGGGTTTACGGTGTAGGGTTGTCATAATTAATGGTTTTGCAGGGTTCTATCTACAAAGGTTCTGAGTTCTATGAGGGTGTTTATCAGGGCTCTATAAAGGCATGAAAAGGAGGCTTCTATAAAAGCTTTACAGGGGGCTTTTGTAGGCGGTCTATGCCCGGGTTTTTAGAGGTATCTGTAGGGCTTAATGGATATGTGGGTTTCGGAACTTCAGGGTAGCTTGTTTATGGGTACTGAAAGTCAGGATCCTATTTCCCAGGGTCCATAGGTCAGTCGCCCCATAATTCAGGCGCCAATTTTGTGCACTTTATGAGGCGAAGACCTAAGCCCTTTGTAGGGTGGGTGAAGTGATACGGTTTAGGGTTTAGGGTTTAGGGTTCATCGTGAACGAGGTCGTGATTCCAGCGTTAGGCCGTGCATATCGGGCATTGCCCTAGCTAGGCACGGAAACGGACGTCATCCGAAGAGTCCCTCTTGTTTTGGGTTAAAGCCGATGCCTGGAACACGAAGCTCAAAATTAAGACCCGCCAGCACACCCGAAGCACCTCGGATTCAGCATCTGGGATGCAGGGTTAAGTTCATGTCGCAGTTCTGAAGGGCTGTAATATAGAAGCCTCAGTTACCAATATTACTGTTAGGGTTCTTTATTAGAAATATACTATCAAGGAGCCCAAAAACCTGTTCTAATTATTAAGGCCCCTAAGGTGACGCAGGTCGTTTTGTTGTAGGATCTTTCGGTCTGGGCTTTAGGGTGTCGGTTCAGCAAGTGCTGCCGGAATCTTTCGCCTCAAGGTATCTCGTGGCCTTGTACTTCACGGTGGACGCTTGGATTTGCAACGAGCCATCAGCTCCGATTGCTCTGCACCCTACTACCTGAACCCACCAGAACTTACTGTTTTGCAGGGTCCCAAAAAATCCCATATTAGGGTTTATCATAAGAACCTACAACAAAGTGGGTTTTGGTAGGTTAAGGTAAGCCTTCACACACTCCCAACTTTATAGCCCAAGGCCCCGAACCCCATCGGCCCGAGAATGAGGCCCCTGCCCGGAGTTTAGGGTTTAGGGTTTAGGGTTTAGGGTTTAGGGTTTAGGGAAAGTTTCCGAAAGTTTCGCGTATAGCTCCACTCACAGCGCGCTGGCTAAATTTTCTTTGTGCCTTCAGGCACCCAGAAACAAAGAAGCCCACATACCACACCATGAAATCAAGACTCGTGGTTTGGGGTCCTCAAACCCTAAACCCTACACCCTAAACCCTAAACCCTAAACCCTAAATCCTAACCCTACACCCTAAACCCATTCAGGGTTTGGAGTCTGGGCGTGAGATCTGTCTCTCGAAGCAACCGCGCACAGAAGGAGAAGTGCTCGGTGTTTTCTCCAGGTTTTCTTGGGCTATAAGTACCCTTGAACCCTAGACGTGTAGCAATAGAACACCATATTCTGGGGTTATATAGGTCCTGTATTGACACCCAAACCTAAGCCGACAATGCTATCGAGGTTCCACTGCCCTAGGGCCGATATCGTGCAAGTCTTCTTGCTCAGCTTAGCGCTTACAATTGAGTAGGGTTCAGGGGCTTAGGGGTTTAGAGTTT